AATCAAATGAGTTTCTATTGAAATTCTGTCCATTATTCTTCCATCATTCGTGTTTGTCCAATCTAGGTCACAAATGGTTTTAATACCAGCAGGCGTTAATCAGTGTGTTTTGTTTCAGGTCTGCCACCCTCGCCCAACTACAGCCTGAGCAGCGCTCAGGCCAGCGTTCTGAGCAACCACAGCAACGCCTCACATTCCTCGCCAGCCACTCCCGAGGAGGTGGCAAGAGCGCCGAGCGCCAGTTCCAGCCACTCACCGCAGCCGCAGCCCTCTTCGTCCACCACGCCGACCAATAGCAAGCCGCCCTACTCATACGTAGCGCTGATCGCCATGGCGATCCAATCCTCGCACATGAACAGAGCGACGCTCTCAGAAATCTACTCGTACATTATCTCCAAGTTTCCGTACTTTGAGCGGAACCGCAAGGGGTGGCAGAACTCGATCAGGCACAATCTCAGCCTGAACGAGTGCTTTGTGAAGGTGCCTCGGGAGGGTGGCGGCGAGCGCAAAGGCAACTACTGGACGTTGGATCCGCAATACAAGGACATGTTCGAGCACGGCAACTTCAGAAGGAGGAAGAGGATGAAGCGGCACTACCGCACTGCGCCGCCTTATCCGAAGGCGTTCTTTGGGGATGCGCTGGGGCAGCACAGTCTGACGCCTCTCACACGAAACATTTTCTCGTCGCCCTCTGCCTATCCGCCTCCTTATTCCCGGTATGAGCCCACGTGGATGGGGCCCAGTCAGCTCAGTTCTTACACTACGTGCCAGACTGGCGGTTATCCGCAACAAGGGTAGGTTGAAACAATATGACAAAATTTGGGTTTTTCAGAGACAATTTCGGTAGTTTGGCAACGTTGCTAGTGGTTTTAGCGCAAGACATTTGACAAATGACTGATTGTAAACACTGAACCCTGAGATCTTGATCAACATGAGAAGTGTGTCCAGTTTTGGGTCTAGGTTTTTAGAGGTTAGGGATCAAGCCCGTTTTATAAAATTCAAGTCTCAAAACCTTTATCTCTTTTAAGGTTAGAAACCCAAGTTAGTTGCAAAGAGAAGCTGTTGGAATGTTCTTTGGAAAAGGAATAATTCATCATCCAGATCGTTTAAACCGTTCCATAGATGTGAGCTGTTTTTTATACTTTTTGCTTCTTTGTCTTTAGAGGTTAGGAATTTCTGATCAAACAGTTGATGAAAGACAGTTCTTGAGTTGCTCTATTCGAAAGGCCCTAATAGTTCCAACCATGTGTCGGATATAAATCACAATATGCAAAAACTCATAAATGTTTCCGTGGTTTGAGCGCTTTTTCCTATTCTTGCATCCATCTCTTTAGAGATTAAAAATTTGTGGTCAGTGAGTGCAAATTCTTTTAGATGTGCACTTTTATGCATGAAAATGTGGAAAATCTGGAACAATAGACACTTTTGTGATAATTTTGATTGAAACCTTATCAGCAAATGATTGGAAAAGCGCGAAATTCTGCTTAGGACGCCCATTTTATAGTTGGACAAATTAGAAATTGAGTTCAGAAAATTTCCTTTTGAAAATGCTCTCAATGCTTATTCTTTTTTTTTGGCTCTACCTTTTTTGAGGTTAGTAATTTCGGGTAAACCGTACTTGCAAAGAGAAGCTTTTGAAATAGTGTCATTTACCATTCAAATAGTTTGGACCGTTTCCGATTTAATATGAGCCCTGTTTAGTACATTTTCTACTATCCTTTTAGAGGTTAGGAACTTCTGATCCAAGTGAATTGATCAGACAGTTCTTGAGATGCTCTACAGAAAAGGTCCTAATCATTATTCAACTAGTTCTAATCATTTGCGAGATATATGTGAAAATGTACAAGAAATCACCAAATTTGTGCTGTTTTAGAGTATTTCTGTTTCTACCTCTTTGGAGGTTAGGAAAAGGTTAGGTGAAAATGTGCAAGAATTCATAAATTTTTGGCTTAATCATTTTTGAGGTCAGGAATTTGTGGTAAACTGTAGTTGCAAGGAAGATCCCTTCGAAAGGTATCATTCAAGATAGTTTGAATCGTTTCCTAGATATGAGCGTTCTTAGTACTTTTGCTTCTTCCTCTAGAGGTTAGGAATTTCTGATCGAAGTAAGTTGGTAGAAGACAGTTCTTGAGATGATCTGCAGAAAATGTCTTAATCATTATTCAACTAGTTCCAATCATTTGCGAGATATAAATGAAAATGTACAAGAAATCACCAAATTTGTGCTGTTTTAGAGTATTTCTGTTTCTACCTCTTTGGAGGTTAGGAAAAGGTTAGATGAAAATGTGCAAGAATTCATCAATTTTTGGCACAATCATTTTTGAGATCAGCAATTTCTGATAAACTGTAGTTGCAAAGAAGAGCTATTCGAAAGATATCATTCAAGCTTCAGATAGTTTGAACCGTGTTTTTGCTTCTTCCTCTTTAGAGGTTATAAATTTCTGATCGAAATGAGTTGGTGAAAGACAGTTCTTGAGATGCTCTACAGAAAAGGTCTTAAACATTATTCAACTAGTTCCAATCATTTGCGAGATATAAGTGAAAATGGACAAGAAATCACCAAATTTGTGCTGTTTTAGAGTATGTCTGTTTCTACCTCTTTGGAGGTTAGGAAAAGGTTAAATAAAAATGGGCAAGAGTTCATCCATTTTTGACTCAATCATTTTTGAGGTCAGAAATTTCTGATAAACTGTCGTTGCAATGAAGAGCCCTTCGAAAGGTATCATTCAAGACTTTAGATGTTAGGAATTTCTGATCGAAGTGAGTTGGTACAAGACAGTTCTTGAGATGCTCTACAGAAAAGGTCTTAATCATTATTCAACTAGTTCCAATCGTTTGCTAATAATAAGTGAAAACGTACCTAAAACTAAAACTCGACTTTCGAAATGGTTTTTTGACTCGTTGCGATTTTTCAACCGTTTTGAAAATATTAGCGGTTTTTACTTGTATCTCTTTAGAGGTTAGAAATTCGAAGAAAACTGGATGAGCGCAAGACCGTTCTAGACACCTGAGGTGAAACGACTGATTGGTTATTTTAAACAGTTTGGGCGCAAATGGGGCGCGGCCGTTGCTCAGAACGCAATAAAAATAAGAAAATTTCCAGGTACCCGCCACCCACGGCGTTCAACCCTTGCAGCGTGCGCCAAGAGGCAGGGCCCCGCTACCCCCCTTACTGGCCCCCCACAGATCCCGAATACTCAGCTGCAGCGCACAGCAGCCCGCCCACGGATCCCCAGCTGCTTCTGCAGTGGTGACTGCACTGAACCTTGGATCAGATCGAGGTTGCGTGATAAAAGACCGTATGTGGTACTACTGAAGTTTCATTACTGTGTCTCTTTTTGGTATTTTTCTGACCGTCCATAACTTACTTTAGTACCTACCTACCTACTGTGTCCCGTTTAGTTTCATGTTTTTCAGATTGTTTTCCTCCTCAGCTTTTATGTACCAAAGATCGGATGAATATGGAACTAAAGTAAATGATGAACTGTGTAGTTTCGTCGATGTAAAAATAGCATTCATAGAACTTAGATGATAGTTTAGAGCGCGGTGGGACGCTTTGCATGATGCGCAGTCGGTTCTGTCACTGTTCGAGCTTAATGCAGCTGATTTTCCAAAGTTTCCCACCTAAGAAACCAGACTTTACCCGATAGTTTAACTAACATTTTGTTGTTTATATTCCGTCCTTCCTGTTAGCAAAGTACGTAGGACTTTTGTTTTTATTTTATGTATTTATATGTAAATTAGATATTGAAAATAAATTGAAAATTACACAAATTTCAAGTGTTTTTCAAAGTTCCTCGATGCAAAAAATTGCGCTTTCAAGTCCACATTTGGGTTGCTGCCAGTTTTTGACCGCAAAATGCCGGGAAACTGATAAGCAAACTGGAATATTTCAAATCTGAATTCCATTCTCAAATAATCGTAAATGGAACCGGAAAATTCGAAGAAATAACCGCACTTCTGCGTGGCAAGTATGAAAAACTTGACGAATTTCCTGCGTAAAACGTTGCCGATTTTGTATGTCGATGTTGACTGATTTTACGACAAAAAACCTTCTAAATTGTCTTATTTCTAGTTTGAGAGTTCGGCACAACTTTGACGTCGATTGAAGTCTAATGTGTTTGTTGTGCCGAGCCCTTCGCGCACGGCACTGGTAGGAAGGTGACATATCGGACAGTTTCCAACGTTTTTTGGGATAAAAATCACAATAATACATCGACTGGATGAAGCAAGTCGTATGTTGTTTGAATCTACATATTTCTAAAACCAAAACTGATGCAAAAATTCTAAGTTCACCACCGGACAGAAGAAGCAAAAATCGTAAAAAAGATGCGATTCACTTTCTATCTAAAGCGACTAATAAACGACCTTCTTCAATATGAGGCTCAATTTGGGAACTTTTTTTGGCCCCCGTCATTAGATTCGTTTCGAATCTGTTGAAAGTAACTGAAAAACTTTAGTTAAGTTAAATTGAGCCGATTATACGGAGATTTGAAGGACTTTGAAGTTTTCCTTGTTCATCCGAAGGAATTTTTCCGAACTAAACTCAACTCACTTTGGCACGCATTTTGTCCAAATAGGACGATTAGTGAAGGAAAAACTTTTAAAAATAATTTGATTTCTTTGACCGAAAATTCCTTTAGAATTTCTGTATATTTAAAGAACCAAATAGAAGAATTCGCGAGTTTTTCGGATTTTTGCCAGTGCACAAAGTTTGCTTTTTTACCGCCTAGGCCATGGGGAAAAATTTCTGAAACAAACCTACCCACTTTCTCGTCTATTTTCTGCCTATGGAACGATGAGTGTCAGAAAATTTGGCGAATAACTTTTTTCTCGAAAATTACGCTTCCTATCGAGAAAACTTAGTCTTTATAAAATATCCGGTCGCTCAAAAGCTACTCGCTAAGAAGTTTCTTTAAGCCGCATCATTTTGCGATTTGCGAAAAAGCCTAAATAGCTTCAAAATCAAAAATGATGAACCACTTCTGAATGAAGTAAGAAAGCCAATACTCATAAAAAATATAGTATTAACTTTTTCCTTAAAACCAACGGTAAGCGAGCCATTAGCGATTTTTGGACTTTCAGCCGAATTCTAGGGAATTTTGAGGAAATTTGACATCATTCAGCATTAGACAAGGATTGACACAAAAACTCGAAAAATCTGAAATATAATGCAGATCCACAAAGAAATCACCCAGTGTTATCGTGTATACTTATGGCAATAAACAAGTCGGTTTTAAAATTGCATATACAAAGCCGGCAACACGGCTTTTGTAGCCAAACCAGTGCCGTCCCTATTTCTATAACTTAGTAAAGTTTTTCTCCCAGCAACTGCTTAACATTAATCGGATTTCCCCGCAAATAACTGATTCGCATTTAGCCCACATTAGCTACATCATTGTCGCTCTCTTTACCCTTCTTGCAATCAGTCTTTTTTCCAGAGTTTTTCGTCTTAAAAGTTCCCGAATGCATGAAACCATTAGTGACTGCACTTGCGCGGTTTTTGGAAACTTAACTACTTGACTAACTTGAAAATATACTCATTTCTGTTCAACGTGGTCAAGATCAAACTGCCCTTTGGGGAAGAGTCAAGGAGTGAAACTTTAAAAACTCTCAATAACTGATGAAATATTAGAGTAAATTGACCCTGGCAGAATTAATAGACTAAAGTTTTCTCTAATGAGTGCAAGCAGCCCCTTACCTCAAACCCAGTTTGAGTGAAGAATTTTTGATAAAATGATAAACATCTTGCAAACGAAGAGAAAGTCACACTGCATTTTCAGGCCCTGGAACTTAAAAGTCGGTAGTAAATTGAAGAAAACTGAGACTAAAGCGAGACTAGCAGCATAAATGGAGTAAAATTTCTTCTTTCGAATAACAGGCCCTGGCTGATTCTCATTTTGTGTAAAGATTTTTTTAAATAACTTTTCCAAACATGTCGGAAGCTAAGATCAATTTTCAACATCATGAACTTAAAAATATCTAAAAAATTCAAGAACAGCGAGAGCAAAGCAATATTTAGAGAAGAAATAGAACACAAAGCTTGATCTATGCAAAGGTGCTCAAATAATGACTCCACCTATTCCCAATTGTGAAAGAGAAACTGCACTTAGGCGGCTTGGAACTTCGAGAAATCGCCGAATTTCAGAAAGAAGTGAAACTTAAATGAAACTAACAGCACAAATAGAATAAAGTTTCCTCTCTTGAGTGATGCAGAAAGCGGATCGTTCCATRATMTCACTTTTTAGAAACAAATTTTTGGAAAATMGTTTKYGAACYCCTGAAATCCAAATWGCACTTTGAAACTTGACACTTAAGAAACTCCYAAGAACTCAGAAAAGCATGAGACTAAATTGAAACTAGCGGAACTAACAGATCAAAGTTTCCTCGCGTGTGTAAAGCTCTCTCTCTCTCWGYYCCYAGTTTTWAGTAMAAWYTTTTGAAAAATMTYTYGCAAACCAGRTGAAATYCAAACTGCACTTTGMAGCTYGGAACTTGAATTGCCGAAATCAAGAAAGAAGTGAAACTTAAATGAAACTAACAGGACAAATAGACCAAAGTTTCCTCTCTTGAGTGATGCAGAAAGCGGATCGTTCGCTGATCCCAGTTTTTAGTAGGCAAATTTTTGAAAAATCGCAAACTCGTAAAATTCCATATTGCACTTTTACACTTGAAACGTGAGTGGCTTCCAAAAATTTAGAAAAAGGGAAACTAAATTGACACTGGCTCGACAAATAAAACAAATTTTCTTCTATTGAACAATATCAAGACTAAAACCTGACTAATCATGATTTTGAGTATGAAAATCGCTTTCAATCTCACTGCTCGCAATCCAAATTTGCACTTTGAAGCTTTAAAAATTCGCAAAATGAAACTACATTCAAACTAGCGAAACTAATAGAGCAAAGTTTTCTCTCGTGGGTGATGCACAAACAGGTTCTCTCACTTATCCCAGTTTTGTGTAAATTTTTTAAAAAATATGTTGTAATCCCGGTAAAAGCTAAACTCATTTTGGAAACTTGAACCTTAAAAACCTCCGACAAATTCAGGAAAAGTGAGACTAAATCGAAACTAACCTGACTAATAGAGCAAAGCTTCCTCTATTGAGAGATGCCTAAACCGGCCCTCTGGATGATCGCCATTTAGAGTGACAATTTTTTGAAAAAAGTTTTGCAATCGCGGTGAGAGCCAATTTGCACCTTCCAGCTTGAAAATTTAAAGAAATTAAAACATTTGGGAAAAGTGAGACTAAATCGCGCAGCTAATAAAGCAAAGTTTTTCCTATTTAGTGATGCCCAAAGCGACCCCTTCACTGATCACCACTTGGGGCACATTTTGGAAAAATCTCGTGCAAACCCGGTGGAAGCCAAGCTGCCCTTTGAAGATTGAAGCTTAAAAAACTCGTAAAATTTCAGAAAAAAACGTGAAACTAAAATTGAAACTGTCGAACAAAGTTTCCTGTCTTGAATGGTGCACAAAGCGGCCCTCTTATTTTGAGTGCCAAAAATTCCGAGAAAAGTGAGACTAAACTGAAACTGTCGGATTTCGGAAGTGAAAAATCCAATTAGTCAAAAAATTAATTTAAAATTACCTTGACTGGATAGCTATTTTCTGCTATCGTTATGAATAACTTATATTATTATATAGTGACTATATGAGTTATAGAACTCATCTAGTTCCAATTTTGAATGAAACATTTTTGAAAATTCTCCTTCAAATTTGGTGGAAGCGAAACCGCACTGTGAAAGCTTCACACTTGAAAAAATATTTAAAAAATTGTGTAAAAGTCGGAGTAGAGCGACACTTGCTTGAACAACTAGAGCAAAGATTTATAATAATAAATAAAAACTAAAAAACAATAACTAGAGCAAAAATTCCTATTAGTAAAGAAATTAA